CAGACCTTATGACTGATCACCAATTTCTTTTCCCCTCTTCAATGTGTGATACAAGAAAAATCACAAAGTGCGTAATGATACAGACATTGCTCTTCAATTTAAGAGAAATATGATTCAATTTACTCCCAAAGCATTTGCAGGGAAATCACAGAATCATAAAATCATAGAATAGTTAGGGTTGGAAACGACCTTAAGACCATCCAGTTCCAACCCCCCTGCCCCCAGAGGGACACCTCACACTGAACCATGTCACTCAAGGCTCTGTCCAACCTGGCCTTGAACACTGCCAGGGATGGAGCATTTACCACTTCCTTGGGCAGCCTGTTCCAGTGCCTCACCACCCTTAAAAAAGTAAAGAACTTCTTCCTTATATCCAATCTAAACTTCCCCTGTTTAAGTTTTAACCCATTACCCCTTGTCCTGTCACTACAGTCCCTAATGAAGAGTCCCTCCCCAGCATCCTTATAGGTACCCTTCAGATACTGGAAGGCTGCTATGACTGACTCTATCAGTGCTGACTTTGAATGTTCTCACTGGTTTCTCCATCAGGTTCACCGTTGCCAACCTCCAATTCAATACAGCCTTTGTGTACATTTACCATTACCATTCCTTCCAACATTTGTACTTTTTTCCATGCTACTTCGCCCAAATATTTTTTTTTCTTACTTTCTTTGCTGTCTGTGCTAAGAACTTTTCCCTTCTTTGCGTGACAAATAACCATCTTTTCCTTTCTCTTAAACTACTAATGAAAAACATATAGAGAAAAAACAATTTCTATTAGACATTTCAAAGTAATTTGCTACTTTGCATCCAAGTACAGTAGTAATGCTCTCGCCTACATCCATCATCCAGGTCATTCATGTCCCAGGATTTCAAACAGGAATTAAAGCAGAGACTCATAATTAAAACAGCAAATGCTTAAGTGCCAGGCACCTGCAGTTCCCAACTACTGCAAAATAAATGCTTATTCTGGAGCATTTTGGAAAGTATCAGTATTTGTCTCAGTGACTGAATACAAAATTAGGACATTTGTTTTGGAAACCACAATCCCCATTTTTTACTGGCTTGATTATCATTATTTGCAGCCTGTTGGACACTGCTCACCCTTCTCAATTTCGATTACAAGCTTTCCCGTGTTCTACACAAGGCTCAACATACTGACATGATCTCTGACAACAAGTTATCACTACCAGTTGTTTAATCTTGGAACTGAAGCAGCACATTACTTCAGCAGTAAATGAATGAGTGGATTGTGAGAACAGCCTGTCTGCTGACCCGTGAAAACAATTTAGCTTTCTTTCAGACTGGCAAGATTTAAATCTTCAGAGACTCAGATTTTCATCTGCTTTTACTTCCAAAACGAATTGGATTACATTGATGTGTGAGCTGGGAACCAGTTTCTAAATATGACACGCCTTCCTTCCCGGTAACATTAAAAATACTAGATTCTTCCCAATATTTAAGCACTTGGTGGATAAGTCAAAGTTAAGTATCATTCTCCCTGTGACACATTCTTTGCTGCTTCTTTTCTAAATGAAATATGTGGTGTGTCTTGTCTGGAGAGTACAGTATAGATAGTGAGTGCTGCCTGTGGAACAATGACCTGCAATGAGCGAGCATCTCTAAACAGAAAGGGAAGTGTAAAAGGTGCTCGTGTAAGACCAAACTTAGAAAATATGAAGACTGCTGAGGATTTTCTCTCTGAATGGTTAAGGAACATCTCCTTTTCATGTCATCTGACAAACTGATCAAAAGAGCCAAATGCAAACCGACAAACACGTCAGTACCAAGAACATGATGGAGAGGTCAGCAATGGATACTTTTAATGAAAGCCTTAGGTTCTGTCACACATCCACTACCTGGCCACACATGCTAGTGAACATAGTTTTATCCTACATTCTTGTACAGAGTGCTTACCAATCTTCTTTGGACTGCTTGTCATCTCAAAGGAATCTGGGGAAGGGAGGCAGAATGAAAAACACAGCTTCCAAGTTTAGAATCCAAGACTTTGAACCAAGTTTATGCAGAAAGAGCACCTTCCATAGGGCTCATTTTACTTGGGCTTTCAATGAAACCCATTTTTTTTTTTATTTTCAGGGCTTTCTTTCCCTTGTGAATCAATGAAGATACTGCTTTATTGCTGCTGAACACACTGACACTATCCAGCTATTTATATATGACAACTGTTGTGCTATCAAGACCATCTTCCACCTGGCCTTAGTATGTCTCACATTTCCCTTCCTTGCTAACCCAGGGAAATACACAGAATTAAGTCAGGAACCCAAACCAAAAGGAATCCAAAAAACCAAAACTGCTGTAAATACAGAGTACTACACCTGGCCTTTGCACGTCTCATAGGAGTGGGTTATAAATATCCTGGTGTCCCTGAGTAACTTTTACCGCAGGCTAGTTCAGGATATGGTGAGCAGTCACCTGCATTCCACGAAAGCCTGACAAGCTACCTCATCTGTGTATGAGCATGCAGCAGACGACCAAGATTGGAGAGGACTTTCTGGGCCATACAGCCCATTCTCATGCGGCTGCAGACACCACATCATCTAAAGCCCATGTTACTTCCAGTTCTGGCCTTTGATAAAAGCCACCCATAGGCATACCTTTTGAGCACAAAGAATCAGTACAGAGTAAGACAGCTATAGCTCAAGGCACCTGGTTTGGATACAAAACTCCTATTTAGATGAGCAAGGAGTGGGGAGAACTGCTTACATCGTTGTTCTTACAACTCTCCTCACCCTTTGGGGTCAGCAGATTGTTCATCTTGAATTTTTCTGGTTCCAACTGACAATAGTCCCAGTTAGTGTAACTTGTGTTGGTAGCATGCCTAAGTGGAGAGAAAGAAGGGACAGGGAAAGAAAAGGAAGATAAAAGAATACTTGGCACTTTTCTCCCATCTTTATGGTGTGCTATACACACTGAGCTTCACAGTATCTCATGGTGTGGTTCACTTGTTTTTATGAACAAAGCACAGCTTATGTTTATCTAAAGCATGAGATATAATAACCTTAGAAGGGGATTTAGAATGCAGACTCTGCTTGCTCTCCCTTATAAACAATACAGCAGCTTGGGCCAAAGTCCTAACATCTTATATCCAGCAGCTGCCAGCTGTGGAGGGTTATAATAGAGTATAAGAAACTGACCCATACTGAGAGATTCTGTCCCTGGTATTCCCTTTCCCTCCATCTGCTAATCAGGAATCTACAGACTGGGGGTTTAATATTTCATCATTTCCTGAAAAGGACATCTTAAGCGATGCACAGAAACAGATGAATGTGAAAGTAAGAAACAAAGAGAAGACAGGCATGGAAGCAAGCAACAAGTAGCCAGGTATCACAGAATACCAGATTGGAACAGACCTCAAGGATCATCTGGTCCAACCTTTCTAGGCAAGCATGACCAGTACTAGATGGCCCAGCACCCTCTCCAGCTAAACCTTAGAAGTGTTCAGTGTTGGGGAATCCACCACTTCCCTGGAGAGATTATTCCAATGGTTGATTATTCTTACTGTGAAAAATTTTCCTCTTGCATCCAGCTGGAATCTCCCTAGGAGTAACCTCTATCCATTACCCCACATCTTTTCTGTGACTCCTTGTAAAAAGGGAGTCTCTATCTTCTTTGTAGCCACCCTTTAAATACCAGAACATGGCAATAAGGTCTCCCCCAAGCCTTCTTTTCCCAACGGTGAACAACCCCAGCTCTCTCAGCCTTTTCTCATACTGCTCCCTAGTCCTTTGATTGTGGCCTTTCTCTGGACCCTCTTCAGCCTGAGCACATCTTTTTTGCTTAGCGGAGACCAAAACTGAACACAATATTCCAGGTGTGGCCTCATAAGCAAGGAGTAGAGTGGGATAATAGTGATGCCCTTGTTGATGTAACCCAGCATCCTTCTGTCTTTCTTTGCTGTAGCAGCACACTTTACCCCTATTGAGCTTGCTGTCCACCAGGACCCCCAGGTCCCTTTCCACAGAGCTATTCCCCAGCAAAGTAGATCCCAGACAATAGGAACCTTAGGATGCAATAGAGCTTAACACAAACTTTTACTGTTGCATGGGCTACACATATCCTCTGAACACTTGGTCTCCTGGCCACCAAGGACAGCTTAATGGCAAACTCTGTCAGGAAGTGATAGATGCTATCCAGAGCATGTGAGCAGCTGAATTACCTGCATATTTGTTTAAACTCTAAGGTGAACAGTGATTGGAAAACCTCTTCAGAGGCCTGGGAACTTTGGATACAAAACCATGGATTCATACACACCTTTTCTGCTTCTTAGAGCAGAGGATACATGTTTTGCACATTAGTACACATAAGAAAGGCCCAAGTAAACAAATGTAAACGTGTAGAATGTATATATGTGAATTTAGGGAAGAAGGGCAGAAACTGAGTTTGAAAGACAAAGGGTAACTCAATTTGCAGCTGACAGTTTGCATGAGCCACATTTCCTGACAGGCACAATATTACTCTCACCTATCATCCATTCTGAAATTACATTGCAAAGCTGTGTCTTGGACTCATCAGTACTGAAATGTGATCTTGGAAACCAGAAGTGTACACAGGAGGCTTGACTCAGTAGTGAAAAAAATAGGGTTTAAGGAGAGAAAAATGACACCTTCATACTTTTTAGTTGAGAGATCATAGACACACTGCTCTTTTGAATACATTTCAGACAAAGCAATAACTGCAGCTTTGAAGAGACAGTAACTGAGGAAATAAGTGAACAACTTGGCAATAAAAAGAATGGAAACATTTCTCTTTCCCCCTTTCTTTAAAGCAGGTGATGTTAGCAAAAGACAGCAATCAGACTGTCAGTACAGATATTTAGAATTTTAGGGAGACAATAAAAATCTGCAGTGAAAAGTGAAAGGAAATTAAAAACTTGGGAATAAGGAAATTGCTAGGAAAGAGAATGCAGAGATGAATCAGATGAGGGCATATTCAGTGGGTGAAAGATAGAGGGCACTCGTGAGTGACTAGAAATCCAAACCGTGCTTTATCCTATTTTATTATTTTCATTACATTATTAAAAGCTTTACTATCCAGAAGACAAAGGCAGGAACTTCCCTGGCTATAACTTAGTGATACAATGCAGGAATACCACCTGTGACACCCCCTTATCCTAAAAAGTTAAAGTACAATCGATGGTTTGGATATTAGGATTCCTGCAAGAACTGATGCCTGCACAACGCTCGAAAAAAATAAATCTCTATTTATAGGATAAGTATTCGTTTCAGGTTACTTCTATGGGAATGGGTTTCTCCATCTCGTTTCTCCGTCCTTGTGTTTTCTTCGCCTAGCTACAAGCACTTTAATGAGGGCCTCCTGGTGGTGGAATCCGCGACAGTCAAGCAGGAGGAGAGCGTAACTTTGCAAAGCGGTGAAACTGCTGTTCTTTGATCTCTTGAGTTGGCTGTAATGAAAAAAAAAGAAACACAGTGAGAAAAAAAGTGTCTGTTTTGTCAATAAAATATAGGCGAGGTATTTACTATCTAGCATACTAAAAGAAGGAGCATCATTAATTGTGTATTGTGCCGCTAGAGGAGGTGAAATTAACTGCAGAGCACTAAGGCAACAGGAATTTTCTCACTCCTGAAGAAATTAATTGGGCGTGGAATTAATTTCAATATACAAAAAAAATTTGATTTTACAGGTTTTTAACTCAGGCTTCTTTAGCCCACCAGTCAATGTAGTAACTTTCAAGCGGCAATAATTACAATAAACATTCTCTTTGACATCAGAGTAAGCCTAGAGTAAGTCTATTGAATTCAACAGTCAGTGTGGTTTCCCTATAATTATTGATGTAACAGGGAAAAATAATAATCCTGCACTGTGTCTGGAAAAAAAAAAAACCAAACAAGGCAAGAGAAACACTACTGAGTTAAAAGCAGCTCTGACACAATCTAAGCTATAGATTCTGTATTGCTTGCGAACCAAAAAAGCTGAAGAAGCAGCTCCAAATTAGGCTACCAAAACCAGCCTGGGTCTATTCCAAAATTTCCACATTGTCATGTGCTACAGCCCTCTCTTCATCCTGTCATGCTCTCAGCCTTCCACCAGCACTCCCAAAGACTTTGTTATAAAAAGCTACATGGCCTCCTTACACGATGACTGCAATAGGAATGTTCTTCACTGTTTAATAAGCTTTTGCAGATCTTAAGTGATGTTTCTAGTTTATTGCACTGGGAGAGAGAGAGTGTGCTAGGTGTTCACCTCCCCACCAAGTGACAGGAACAGCGAAAACCAGGCCAATCTCTTAAAATCATATGTCAAACTACCTGCTGGCAGGGGAACAATGCAATATGTTGAGAGGCAAAGCTAGAAACAATGATGCTCTTGTCTCAGTATCTACCTGATTTAAGTGGAGAAATAACGATGAGAAGCTGCTGCTAGAGTAGCCTGGGAGGTTGGGTGCAGCAAGGAAATTCCACAGCTTTTTTTTGAGGAAATGGAGTCTGGCAAGAAATGAAATTTAGTAAAACTATGCAAAAGAAGAAAAATTCCTGAAGCAAATCACACCAGAAATCAAGCACCGAAATGCCTTCCTCTTGCTCTCACAACTTTGGGGGAAGCTTTCTGAACTCTCATTCACAAGCCCTACCAACTCTGAAACTATTCACACGCATCCATGCACAAGCAACCAGGCAGACAGAAGTGAGCATTCACCTCACATGCCAGGGTGGTGGGGACAGGCTGCCTGGCTTTTCCTGAGCCTCTACCTTGGAGAAAGTGGCTGTCAGAGAATCACTGTGAGAGCATGGGAAAAGCAGACAGTTAGTTTTACAAGAATTATAATGCATTACCACAATACTCATCCCACTTGGAGCAAGGAGAACTCAAGCATACAACTATGCCGAAACAGACAGGTTTCTTCTAGAAAGGTGAACATTACTACCCCTGTGTTACTGGTGGAGCACATCCTGACCAGTGCTTCTTAATATCTAGTTCCCCCCCCTGCAACAAACTCCAAGTTCATAAAAGAATGGGATGTGACTTTGTCTTTGAGCATCTCAGGGAGATGCTTTTCTCATCTGGAGCTCTGCAGGTCCAAGTAGTTGTTTGGAAACTCAACATTTTCCAGTGCATTCAACAATAAAAATGCGAGTGTTAAGAGTTCAGTCCCTCGCTATCCGGATTGGGCAGTATGGTCTTTGACTTAGCTACAGGCTTTTCCAGTTCAAAATTGTAATTCTGCATTCTCCCAGCTTTTCTTCCAAGGTTCTTGCCCTCACTTCACTTCCAGCCCTTTGCCTTTGCATAGAATCATGGAATCACAAAATGGTTTGGGTTGGAAAGGATCCTAAAGCTTACCCAGTTCCAACCCCCTGCCATGAGCAGGGACACCTTTCACTAGAGCAGGTTGCTCCAAGCCCCGTCCAACCTGGCCTTGAACACTGCCAGGGATGGGGCAGCCACAGCTTCTCTGGGCAACCTGTGCCAGGGCCTCACCACCCTCACAGGGAAGAATTTCTTCCTTATATCTATTCTAAATCTCCCCTCTTTCAGTTCAAAGCCATCCCCTTGTCCTGTCAGTACAGGCACTTGTAAAACATCCCTCTCCAGATTTCCTGTAGGCCCCTTTAGGTGCTGGAATGCAACTATGAGGTCTCCCCAGAGCCTTCTCTTCTCCAGGCTGAACAAGCCCAACTCTCTCTGCCTGTCTCCACAGGAGAGGTGCTCCACTCCTCTGGGCATCTTCTTGGCCTTCTATGGACTCACTCAAGCGAGTCCATGTCCCTCTTGTGTTGGTGGCCCCAGAGCTGGATGCAGTTCTCCAGATGGAGTCTCATGGGAGTAGAGGGGAAGTTCACTTCCCTCAATCTGCTGGCCAAGCTCCTTTTGATGCAGCCCAGCATATGGCTGGCTTTCGGGGCTGCAAACACACACTGACAGGTCACACTGAGCTTCTTGTCAACCAACACCCACAAGTCCTTCTCCTCAGAGCTGCTCTTACTCCATTTTCCGCCCAGCCTGTATTTTGTGCTTGGGATTGTCCTGACGCAAGTACAGGACCTTGTAATTGGCCTGGTTGAACTCCAAGAGGTTTGTGCTGGCCCAACAGATGCGCAGACATACACACGGACGTTAAATACTGACAGAAGGCACAACTGCTTCATGAAGCCCTTTATCAGAACTGCAAGTTTTTGTGCTACTTTTAAGGGTGTCGGTTCTCCCCATCTGACCTGTAATCCCGTATGAAAAAGAAAAAAACCACCTAATTTCCAGTGATTAGGTGTCAGAGGGCCACTGTTCTTGTAGCATGCATCCTACAGGAGTAAGATAATGCTTAACTGAACTATCAGAAGATAATGCAGCACCAGATTGTTCTCTTGTCAATAGTCACCAGGCTGGCACTCTGGTATCTTTCCAGTTCTCATTCCAAGTGAGCAGTTCTCTGGCTCACTTCAGGAAGGGTGCCAGTTAAGCACCCTTCTGCGAATGAAAAACTGTTAAGTAATTTTTTTGTGGAGTGAGGGAAATGAAAAAGGTGGCGATTCCCCTTTTTTCCTCCTTTCTTTCCTGACACTTCTCGCTCTCCCCCCATCCTTCCCCCTCCCCCCCTTTTCTTTATTGTCCCCTTTTAACTAAAGTCAACACATTAATATGTCATTAAAATTAAGCTTCTTAACAGAAGCTTTCCTAACAATGAAGCAAGTCATTTGAGTTCGCTGAATTCTAACAGGGAATGACTCTAAAATTTAGAAAAGAAGCGGTATTTTGCCTCTGCAACATAAAAAAAAACATTGGTCATTCAGAATCATAGGATCAACCAGGCTGGAAAAGACCTTTAAGATCATCAAGTCCAACAATTACCCCAGCGCTGCCACGTCCACCACTAACTCATGGCACTGAGGGCCCCATCTCCACAGCAGCAACCCGGCGGGTCCGAGGCGGGTCTCGGGGCCCGGAGCGTGGACCCCCCCGCGGCCGCCATTTTCCTCCTCCTGCGGGCCCCGCACCGTGGGGAGGAGCGGCGGAGCGCCCCGCCGTCGCCACGGCAACGTAACGGCCGCAAACCGCTCCCGAGGCACGCGGCAGCAACGGCGGCTGAGCGCGGCGGCGCGGACGCGGGGCGCCGGGAGCACGCGGCGGAGAGGTGCTTTCCCTCTTCCCCCCCCCCCCCTCTTCCCTCGGGCGGAGGTCGACGGAACAGCCCGGCCGGCCCTGCACCGCGAGGCTGACCCTACCACTGCGGGGCGGGAGGGTGCTGGGGTGCTGGGGGTGTTCCTCATCTGCGCTCGCTCAGCCCGCTGTTTTCAACAGTGAGATGCCGGGGAGGGGGGGGAAACAGAGCGGGACCATCCCCAACGCTCTGCGCTGTCGTCCGTGTCTCCCCCCTCCCCACCCCATTTAACCCCCTCGGAGGGCTGGCGCACAGCGTGAGGACCAGGGGTGCGGGGTCTGATTGTAGGTGGGCACCAGGCAACGTTGTTGGAAGTGCTGGGAAAGGGGCCACCAGAGGAAACCCCAACACCGCCGTCTCGTCACATCGACGCTCGCAGCCTCCGTCTTCAGAGCACTGTTGACGTCCATCCTGCTCGGGGAGCCGCGCTGGGATGCCTCTCTTCGGGAACACCTTCAGCCCAAAGAAGACCCCCCCAAGAAAGTTTGCCTCTCTCTCCAACCTGAATCTGGTGAGTGCCCCCCAGCCACCATAACCCATACACCACCATAACCCATACACCACCATAACCCATACACGAGCTCCTGGCCCTGCCTCTTTCCTCGCACCACTTATGGTCACTGGTGACAGTATGTGAAGGTAGAAATGGAACAGTGTCCCTGTCATGGCAGGGGGTTGGAACTGGATGAGTTTTAAGGTCCCTTCCAACCCAAACCATTCTGTGGTTCTATGAATAGAGCAGGGAAAGATCATCATCATCCTAGTGCAGAACTGTTTCACCTAAAACTTCTCACCAATGGTCTCTAAGCGCGGGGAGGTGTGTGTGTGTTTGAGTGCGAGAACGTGCAGATGTGCAATGAGAGGACTGGCTTGGTCCTGTGCTGCGGCAGAACGTGAGCAAAGTAGGATTTCATGCTTCAGCACCATCAGGTTCTGTTGGAATGCCAGCCACTGAGAAATGGGGGGGCTTTGGAGTTCCATAAAATACTGAGTGTGGTTTTCTCCCTGCAGCTGGACAGATCGACCCGTGAGATCGAGCTGGGGCTGGAATACAGCATGCCCACCATGAACCTCGCCGGCCAGAGCCTCAAGTTTGAGAATGGCCAGTGGGTGGCAGGTAGAGTGCAGCTCTGCTGGTTCTGATCTGGAGTAGCCATGGCTGGCTGACACCCTGCATTTTGATGCTCAGAGGGCTGGAGCACATCTGTGAGGACAAGCTGAGAGAGCTGGGCTTGTTCAGCCTGGAGAAGAGAAGGCTACAGGGAGACCTTATAACAGCCTTCCAATACCTAAAAGGGGCCTACAAGAAATCTGGAGAGGGGCTTTTTACAAGGGCCTGTAGTGACAGGACAAGGGGGAATGGATTTGAACTGAAAGAGGGTAAATTTAGATTAGACATAAGGAAGAAATTCTTCTCTGTGATGGTGGTGAGGTGCTGGCACAGGTTGCCCAGAGGAGCTGTGGCTGCCCCATCCCTGGCAGTGCTCAAGGCGAGGGTGGACAGGGCTTGGAGCAACCTGGCCTAGTGGAAGCTGTCCCTGCCCATGGCAGGGGTTTGAAACTGGGTGAGCTTTAATGTCCCTTCCAACCCAAACCAGTCTGGGATTCTATGATTTTAATCTGCATTTTAACCTCCTTCCTTCCTTCCAGAATCAGGAAGCTTCACAGGGGATCGCAGAGAAATGCAGCGCTTGCGCAAGCGAAACCAGCAGCTGGAGGAAGAAAACAACCTCCTTCGGCTGAAAGTGGACATTCTACTGGACATGGTGAGTATGCGCCCAGCTGCCGCTGCAGCAGAGGTGCCCAAGCAGAGGGTGCTGGGGTCTGTGCCCTTCTCTTCCGGCTTTTGTCTACTACACAGGACATCTGTGATGGTGAAGTGAGGGCAGGATCAAAGTCTGGCGTCTGCTGTGAGCACCATGGCTGATATGAGAGGAGCCCCTACAAGTGCCATGGCTCCGTTGTCCCTTCCTGCACAGTGTTACGGCATTTTTCTTGTTACTCTTGCATGTGCCCTAACAGTGAAACAAAGCAATAGCCACCTTCTCTGGTGGTTAAGGTTAAAGCTTCCAGCTGCTGTGACAAGTGGTGTGACATCCTATCTGTGTGCAAACCATGGGGTGAAAGAATCTGCAAGCCCTAAATAAACCAAAATTCAACCTTACCCAGCGATAATGCTCAAAATCTGGAGATGCTTTCGGTGAAATGGAATGCCTGTGCTTAGACCACTAAGTGATTTACCCTTTATGTCACTCTGAGCATATACCTCCTTATCCCATTCCTCTCTTGCACTCTTCCTGTGTTTTAAAACTGGCAAGCAGCTTCTGTGGCTGGGGTGCTGAGCCGAAGCCCAGGCTGCTCTCCAGATTTCCCCAGCGATGTCAATGAAGTGTGAAATTTCCTTTCACTTCCCTCTTGCCCAAATGGGAGCAAACTCCCTCGCTCAGGTGCTGCCTCGTGGCTGTTAAATCTTGGTGATGTCTCGGGGGAAGGTGGTGCCATGGAATGGGGAAAAGCTTCTGGCTGTAGCACAGGGTGGGGGGCAGAGGAGTAGCTCACCCTTGTCATTGCAGCTCTCTGAGACCACAGCCGAGTCCCACCTGATGGAGAAGGAGCTGGAGGAACTAAAGAGCCACAGCCAGAGGAGGAAGTGAAGAAGAGGATATGGCCATAGGACAGGGGAGCAAAGAGGCCAGCTCTGGACCTCAGTGCCTCTTCAGCACCTTGGTACTGTGTGCGTAGGTGCTTCATTCATGGGACTTCAAGTAACGAGGTGCCTCTGGTGCTGTGGGTGCCACGTAACGGCTGGGTGGCACCCCCACAAGTCACACCACGATGCTGTCAACTAACAGAGATTTTCTCAGAGCACTTTACCTCACTACGTTTCCTCAAGAAGAACCATCTCCGGGTACCTTAAAAAACACAGGACACCCCCTGACCTCCCCAAAACCTGCCCCTCCGGGAGCCTGCAGGGTGCTCACTGTTGAGGCTCTTGCATCGTTTACATAAACACATTGAAACCCCCAGTCTGCGGGTGTTTGCTATGAGCTACGAGATGGGGAGAATCGGGGAGGGGGGGAACAGGGGTGTGCTCCTCCCGGCCGCCAGGTGGCGCTGCCTCCCCCGACGGCCGGGCGGCGGGAGAACCGCCCTTCCGCTTCCGCTGTCTCGCCGCCCCCTCCGTCCGTGCCTGGTGGTGATGGCTGCCGCGGCGTCCCTGTCCCCGGAGGAGCTGCTGCCCAAGGGCGGCTCGAGCAGGGCCGAAGAGCTGGAGGACGAGCTGGAGGAGGAGGACGACGACGAGGAGGTAGCGGGGCAGCGGGCGGCGCGACGGGGCGGGCCGGGGCAGCCGTGACCCCGCCGGTCGCGCAGGGCCGGGTCGGGCCTGACGCGGTTGTTGCCGCCCGCAGCTGGACGAGACGCTGGCGGAGCGGCTGTGGGGGCTCACGGAGATGTTCCCCGAGTGCGTCCGCTCGGCGGCAGGAGCCACCTTCGACCTGTCGCTGTCGGTAGCGCAGAAGATGTACAGGTGAGAGAGCGGGTCCTGCGGTGCGGGGAGCGGCGGGGCCGCGGCCGTTGTTTCTAGGCGGCATTGGGCAAAGCCGGGTGGGGGAAAGGGGGCACCTCGGGTCAGAACCAGGGGGTGGCTTTTGTGTGAGGCACAGAAGGGGGAAAGGGAGGCACAAGTGGGAAGCCTGGGGCCTGTGGGAAGCAGGGAAAGAACCGGTTCTTATTGCTAATGTGCTTTCTCTTCCGCAGATTCTCCAGGGCAGCTCTGTGGATTGGGACCACCTCCTTCATGATTCTGGTTCTTCCTGTCGTGTTTGAAACTGAAAAGCTGCAGATGGAGCAGCAGCAGCAGCTGCAGCAGCGACAGGTGAGGTGGGAGCACCCCAGCCCTCTACCCCGGCCCTGCAGGTTTGGCTCAGGGCATTGCACCTCCTCCCAGGTACCTCCTGTTGAAGGAGCTTAGGGAGCGGTTTGTGATACGGTGTTCATCCCACTGGGTGCCTTGGTTGGATGCTTCCAATGGGATGATCTGGCCGATTCCTAGTAACAAGTTGATGGCAAACTCCAGCAAACACAGCCTAGCTTTCACCAGGCCAAAATAGGCAGTGAGGGCTGCACATGGGCTGAAGGCAGCAACGTCCAGATCCAACCCACTTGCATTCAGTGTGGCTGAGCTTTGCACTGGGCTCTCATGGCAGGGGAAGAACTGGTGCCACAGCCTCATGCCTGGCTGGGAGGCTGTGGGAGAGAAGGCAGCACACAGACCCTGTCCTGTGTCCTTGCAGCCCCTCAACTGACCCTTTTCCTTCCAGATCCTCCTGGGACCCAACACGGGGCTCTCAGGGGGGATGCCAGGGGCCCTGCCACCATTGTCTGGGAAGATCTAATTTGTGGAAGCTGCGTTGGATTTGTATCATGTGGGAAGACCTTGAGATTATGATCTATTGAACTGTTGAGTTGTTGGGTCAGGGCATTTTTTTGTTTTTCCCTTTTATTTTTGGTTCTCCTTTGGGACATTGACCTGTTCATAAAGAGGGGGAGAAGCCCGTCCCCCTCTGGACCTGCTGACAGCTCCTGGCTGCATCCTCCCCCTGTACAGAAATCGTGAGTTTTTCCTTTTATTAAATCAATGCACCATAACCAGTCAGACTTGAACTAGGGGAATTCAGTTCCTCTTCCAGGCCCCTCATACTCCCATAAAATGACCCCAGGGCTCAGGCTGGGCTTTGGAAGTCAAGCAAAATGAGTCCTGAATCCTTTGCTGGCTGACATGGAGTTGAAGGACACTGGTGGGAGGAGGAGGAAGAGAAATAACTTCCCCAGCAGACAAAGCAAAGGAAGGTGGGGTGCAGGTGGCTGCACCCTATGGAAAACTCTCTCCAGGAAGATGCATCTGCATAAATACTGTCATGGCGGCTTCATATGTGTATGTATGTGAGAACCGAGGGAGCAGCAGGTTCAAGCCGATCACGCTGATCCTCTGTCTCATCAAGTAGAACTTCAGCAATCAGCTGCATATTTTTTTGTATTGAATATTAAATAAATCCAACCTGAGCAGTGTGGTTTTAATAAACATTCTTTAGGGAGGTTCAGTTCTTCTGGAGCTATGGGAAGGGATGGACGCTTCATTGGCACCCGAAGATGATGGAGCAACAAGCTGTGCGCCGCTTAAGGGAGTTCTCAGAGGGCAGCGATAGGACAACGGTTAATGGGTTTAAACTTAAACAGGGGAAGTTCAGGTTAGACATAAGGAATTTCTTTACTGTGAGGGTGGTGAGGCACTGGAACAGGCTGCATAAAGAAGTGTTAAATGCTCCATCCCTGGCAGTGTTCAAGGTCAGGCTGGACAGAGCCTTTGGTGACATGGTCTAGTGTGAGGGGTCCCTGCCCATGGCAGGAGGGTTGGAACTGGATGATTTTAAGGTCCTTTCCAACTCAAACCATGCTATAATTCTACTCACAGAAAGGTTCGTGTAGAAAGGTAGCAGTTTTGTAACCAAAGAACAAAAAAATTTATTTTGCCTTTACATCCTTTACAGAACAATTCAATTGAACATACAGAAGTGATAGGACATTTATATGGATTTTTTTTTCCCATTTTTAATATTTGGTTAAACAAAATACATCTCTGTAAACAAACCCAAGACAAGAGGCTCTAATGAAACCAAACAAGCAAGAAAATAACCCGGGGCTTCCCCAATCCCAGGTGGGCACTGGGCTGCCTCACCCATCCCCTCGGGCCTGCACATCTCCCTCCCCCCCTGTGGGGTGTGTGATCCCACTTTCCCTTTACCTGAGCAGCTGGATCTAACTGATTCCCCTTCATGGGAAAGGAAGGGACTAAACAAGGAAAGGAAATTAGCCCCAAAGTAGTTGAAAACATCTTTGCATATTGTGCACTGAGCCATTGGCTCGCAGCTTCCATGCAAATGGGGTTTCTCCAAAGTGCGACTAGCATAGAAAACATTGCTGCCTAGGTTTATTTAGTTTATGTTTTCCCCCCCTCTTGAAGAAATGGCTTCAAGTCATGAGCAGAATGCCGCAGGCTGCACATCCTGCCAGTAGGAAAGTGTTTAAAAACCTCTGCCAGCTGGTATTGGTCATTGGAATGTGTTACGAAATAGGACTTCTCATAGAAATGTCGGGTCTTTAAAACGCACGAGAGCTGTTTTGCTCTCAGCTGTGGAGGCTGTGACTGCAGTACACTGCTTCCAGATGTCCCGAACAGTGGCATCCCCTCACTATGTGGCCTCTGTTCTCCATTAGGAAGGTGCAGGTTTTGGTGGTCTCTCAGCTTTGAGCACCTGCTCGTGAGGTTGCAGAGCTCTTGAGAGAAAAAGAACTTAGACAAGGTAGTTACAACCCCTCCTGCAAACTCCAACAAGAGAAATGAGACTTTCCTGCAGGATGGAATGGCTTCCTTGGAGCTGTGTTGTGTCCCAGCATTTGCTGTTAATCCCATGTGTCAAGGAGGGAAGCGAACAACAGCTGAACCAGGAAGCACTGAATGCAACAGAGTCTGTTCCAAATTTGGCGTTTCCTCCTCCTGCTGTGGAAGGCATGACTGAGCTGCAGCTCACCCAGAATGCTGGGAAACAGCCTGCGGGGATTCTTCTTGCTGTCTCCATGCCTGGTCACTATTCCCCGTGGAAAGGAGGGAAGGAAAAAGCTGTTTGTCTGTTAACGGAATGTTTGTTGGCCAACACTGAAGGAGAGGTTGGTTCAACATTGGGTCAGGGTCTCTCATCTGCCCGCAGGTTCTGGTGGGCCCTCTGCATCCTCCCCATTATTGGCTAGGAACTATAACAGGGGCACAACCTGGCTGCTATGAAGGCTCACCTCCTCAGGTGAGCTTTTTCTTTAACTTTACCTCTTTCTAGGACATTCTCAGAACATCTCCATGACTGTGGGTTAGACTTCTGCAAAGAGGAAATAAAAGGGAATCAGTTCCTCTCAAAACCTTTTCAGTTTTCTTCCTCTCTCCAAGCAGCCCCTAAACTACTGGGTGACCATGCAGAAAAGCAAAATAGATGTTAAAAAAAAAAAGAGTAAAAACAAACCCCAAACCACTCACCATAGCACAAAGAAACCCCAAGCAGACTATGGCATCTCTGCAATCAAAAAATACGATGCTCCTCAATGACCCTGCACTTGCTGTTTCCATGTCACCTTCGCCAGCAGCCACATGCTGTGGAACAGCTTCTCGCCACAAATGTCAATCCCCGGAGACACTGGGGAAGGATCCTCCAGCTCCCCAAAGAGTTCATTGAAATATGATGCTGTTTTTATTATTGTTTCCTAATTCCTAGCACAAACGACCCCTCGGAAGCAGAGGGTGGTGCCGAGCACCGTACCATTCCTAGTGTTTGAGCATGTCCTGAGAGACCTGTAGGAATTGCAACGGTCTTCATGACAACTTGTTTTGGAGGGAGAGGCTTGTGAAGAGGTGCAGGTGTGTTCAGTCCATGCTCCTCCCCAGCAAGTCCCACCACACATGGCCTCAAACTGTGTGGGGAAAGGGTGTCCAAAGGCTCCCAGAGCCCTGAAGCCCAGTTTTCAGGAATGAGCGCAGTGCCTGCTATAGCAGCTCACCTGCCTTTGCGATTGAAGAGACTGACTTCCAGTTTCCTCCACTCTGCCCTCAGTTCTCCCGCACCCAGCACCCCCAGTGTCCAGTGCCATTGCCCTATTGCACCAAGGAAGGAAGAGAAGATCTTAAAGAAAATTCCAGATGAGAGGAGTCAGGGCACCCATGATCCAGATTTTGAGGATGTCAGGAGTTCAGCGAGGGGAGGAGCTGTAGTGGGAGGATAGAGTCAGTCCAGATCACACATCAGCTCTCCAGGTCTGATGTGCTTCCACCTCCTCTGGCACCACCAGCAGGAGTTCACAGTTCTTGCCTCTCAGCTGGTGTTTCAAAAATTTCCTGTCATCAAGAGAAACAGAAACAAGCACCATTGTATGTATAATTCATTGCCTTCTATAACAACTCACTGCAACTAACTGCACAAATATGACAAGAAATGGGAAGTAAGCCCCACACAGTTATTTTCTTATTAAATATTAAACTTGCCCCACTAGGTTCTACCCAGAAAGTTATCACAGAATCAGACAGATCTTAACTTCAGCAGAGGTTAAGTCTATATAGATGTCGCTTCCCAATTTTCTAAGGTGGCAAAAAAAGAATTAAGTTCAGTTTCTTCAGTCTCCAAGATTAAGAATCCCATTGTACTTGAAAATAATGCCAACAAATCTGGAATACTGGTGAGGAACAGAAAAACCCCAACAAAACAATCACTTCAATGTCCTAAGTCATTGCAGCAGCACACCACCTGCTCATTTCACATGGATCTGCAGCCCCTTTCTGCCCAAAAACTTTTTCTAACACCTAACTTGGATTATCTCCAGTAACTATGAAAGTCAAATCAAGGTTCTCTCTGGTATCTTTTAGCCCATGTTTCCAGCATTCTCTAAGAAGAAAGGCCTTATTTATTGCTGAAGAAGAGCACACCCAGGATAAAATCCACCAGCAGCTCTGCCCTGAAGTTTCACAACTGTGTTATTTAACCCCAAAAGTTCACAAAAGGCTGAGCTTCACTTTACCAAGACTTTAGTGGCAAGGTGGGCTCTGCAAATACTGCTCATGTGCAATCCCTACCTCAGAACAAGTCAAGTCAGCAAAGCTGCTAGTATGCTTTAGAACAGGAAGGAATGGAAGTTGAAGAGCAACTAAGAGCAGGTAAGACTTTACAGTCAAAACATTCACACCAACCATCTTGTGTTAGGATTGGAGAGGGGAGTCAAGGTAGAAGTGCAGCATAGGCTTATATAGGGAAATAACACCTAACAGCAGTTTTCCCTTGCTGTCAGGGACAAGGCTGCACTTTGAGTCTGGAAAGCCTTTTATTGGAAACATATGCACAGATTGGTACTAAGGAGGCAAAGGGATGCTGATACTCTCATGTTTGAGGAGAGAGCCAAGCACAGTACCTTTTGTCACAAGTGTCACCCACTAATACCAGACTTCATGCGAGACATGAAGTTGGGTTCTCCCCAGCACACAGATATCACCCTTGCCCAAAGCATTTTCCTAGCTTCACAGGATGGTTAGGGTTGGAAAGGACCTTAAGGTCACCTAGTTTCAACCTCCTGCCACAGGCAGGGACAGCTCACATTGGACCATGTTGCCCAAGACTCTGTCCAGACTGGCCCTGAACTCTGCCAGGGATGGAGCATTTACCACTTCTTTGAACAGCCTGTTCCAGTGCCTCACTACCCTCACAGTAAAGAGGAATATCATGCAAATGGGGTATCAACCTGAATAGAGGCACAAGAACCTTACTGCTCTCAAATCTTTGCTATGGAAGGTCAACTATAAATGCTTCAGTTGCCAGCTGTTTCAAGGCAGACTGCCCACCTCTAACAAGGAAGGTTTTTGAGGAACACGATACAAAAACACCTACCTGAGCTCACTTTCACCTCCAATCCACTCGGGCACCTTGAGCTTGGAGTCGAGGTTGTAGTAGGTGCCTCCCACCTCACGGACGCAGATCCAGTGCTGTCGCTTAAGGGGGAGCTTCAAGGGGCCCCAGCAAAGACTGGAGGGCAGGTTCATGATGAAGCCCATCACATTAGACAGGGCAATGACGTTTACATCCCTGAAAGAGTGCAGAAAACAGTGCTAAGACTGTATTCTGGTACTTTAACTTAGTATCTTCCTCGTTACTACAAACGGCAGCCACTTCCCAGAGTTACATGACATCTTGGTACCTGCGCTTGTCCCACCAAACTGCCTCGTAGCCTTTGGTCTGAAGTGCTGCCATGATCACGTTCACATCATAGTTTCCGTTCCCCAGCATGCTCTTCTTGTGGGGCGTCACCATGGTGTTGGGAGACAGCCTGCAAACACAACAGGAGGCTGCTTGCCAAACCTGCATTCCACAGTCAGAAGGGGCTCCTTGCTGTGTAACCTGAAGCCCATTTTCAGGGGGTTTGTTTAAAACCAAACTATTCCATTCACCCTTATCATTCAACGAAGGGGCTGAGAGGGCTAA